GGAGATCTACGAGCATCCCTTCTCCAAGTTTATCAACCACAGTACTTGGTACATGGTTTTCCTGGTTTTTGTAATTCTGAACTCGATGCAACATTCCTTTGCAACAAGGTTGATGGGTCTTGAGTGGATCGGTATGTCACTTTATTTTATTTTTTTGATAGGTAATGCTTAAGATGTACGGAATATTTATTTTTTTATTTCGTTATGCCACCAAGGCTACCTACCGCAACCTCCATATCGGTAAACCATCGCCTGGTTATCAATGTCACGCCATCAAAAATAATAAACGAAACCATTCAAGAGAATACGACCAGAATCTTGGAAGCAAAAAAAATACATGTGTAAACAAGATTCAGTTCTTGTTTTACTTTGATTTGTATATGAAATACTCCAAGAAATGTTTTACCCCAAATGAAATGAACTTTTTATGGAGACACCATGTTGACACCAAATGGAAAACAGCGGAAGAAAATCTTTCTCGCTATTTCGGGGCTCTAAGCCCTCATGAAAGTAAAAACTTAGAAGTCATAGTTCTTAATTCTGAGGTTTGATGACATCACGTGAAAACCAGTAATATGTAGGACCTCTACTCACCAATGCAGGACATTTTCACATAGACCATAATGCACCTGCTTTACCCCCCCGGAAACCTTTGCGTAACCATAGTTTCCAATTTCTCCTGAGTCTTACGGTCGTCCAAAGAGAAACCTAAGACAATGGTTATGTAAAATTTTGAGGAGTAAACAACTTGCATTATGGTCTATGTGAAAATGGTCACTCCTCTCGAATTTTGTGGCAAATCTGTACATTAGGAAAATCTTATTGTTAGCCTAACAGCTTTTCAAAGTTCATTTTCCTTTGTATTTTGTCAACAAAGAACGAGCTAAGTGATCAAATCCCAATACATAACCCTCTTCCCATGAAAGTTTTTTTACGTAAATCTATTCTTGGTTCTGTGTCATACTGCTTGGTTATTTTAATGACGCCACCTTATTGGTTGGTTAGAGTGGCGTCATGTAATTAAAACTTGGCGACGGGAATTCATTTCACTGCCGATCGCACGCAGCAAGCGATATGACGTGCTAACTTTCGTCGACGAGTCAAAAGATTTCTGCGACGAAAAATGTCGCCAGAGTAGCTGCGGACGAGCAAAAGGGTCCTAGCTTGGGGGAGTTTATCGGAAAAAGCGGTTCCGACTCGACGAAAATTGCTTACTTTGGTCTTCGCTACATATAATAATATAATAATAATATAATGAATGTTATTTAGCCAGGGTATCTCTTCAGCATAAAATGCTGCTATCAATGAGGGCGCTGGAAAAAAAAAATAAAATAAAATAAATAAATAAATATATATATATATATATATCTATATGAAACTAACCTAACTTACAGTAACTAAAAATACACTAAAAGTTAAAAATACAACAAGATTAAAAAATTGTTTAAAAAAGCTAAAATACAATAATTAAAATGCATTTAAAAGCTAAACCAATACAAAAACTTAACAAGTAACTAAAAAACTTTTGATCTATATAATTCCAAAATACAAGTTTTAAAATTACAACTGACTTAGAATCCTTCATTTCACTTGCAATATTATTAAAAAGTTTAGATCCATTAAAATAAAAAGACTTCCTTGTCGTCTCAGTTCTGACTTTGGGGAGCAGCAAGTTGTGCCCACTTCCCCTCGTGTTGTGGACTGTTCTAAAAACCTTAAAATAATCTTTAAAAAACACTGGAGGGGATCCCTTCAAGCATTTAAAAGTCAAATTAATAGTGTGCATATCACGCCTCATAAACAAGGGAAGCCACTTTAAATTCTTCTTGGCGTCTGAATCTTTGGTCTTCAAAACAATCCTAGCTGCCCTTCTTTGTGCTCGATCTAACTTATCACGTTCTATTTTCCCAATGCTGCTCCAAGCAACATCGCAATAATCCATAACCGGCAGAACAAGGGACTGATAAACTTTATTGGCTGCATCGACAGTTAGATTGTTTCGTATTCTTCCGAGGACACCGATTCTCTTGGAAATCTTAAACATTAGCCTATCCACAAACTACAATTGTAAATGACACTTAAAATTGAAGGCAAGGCTGATCGGAACAACTAAGGGTAACAAATTTATTTGCCCAATATTTCGACTAGACAAACCTAGTCTTCATCAGGGGCTATTGTAAAAGACAGCTGTCTCTTCTGGCGTCGTCCACGCAAACCCGCGAGCTGTGATACCGTCGTATGTCGTTTGGATCTGGGCAGAAAATAGGTTCTAAGTGGGTTGAAGTATGGCATGTTTGGCCGCCAAAAATTTTAATTTTGAGACGGCGCTAGATAAATGTTCAATGAAAAAGAATAAAGTACGCGCACAGGTCAACCGCGCATCGAAAGTCTCTGGCATCTGACCTGATTTGTGTTCGCACAGCGAAATATTCATCGCAAGTATTAGACGTTAAGAAGAAGTAATTAAGTTTGAAACTCTCAAGAACAATAGCAAATGTGCTATTTCCGAACGAGAAATATTCCTGGAAAAAAAGAAAAAATACCTTGGACATTTGCATTTGCATCGTATTTCGCGCGCGATAACTTTTGCCTTTCACGGTGTGTCAGTATTCAATATCCGTTACTTTAAGGTGATTCCTTAGTAAAAGAACCTAACATAGATTGTAGATGAAACTTGGTACACTAATTTAACAAGTCAAGGAGATGAGAAAAAAGTAATAAAAAGTGGGGGTCGTGTTGTTTTGACCTCACAGTCCTGACAAATACGGCTATTTAGGACCCTTTGACAAAAACCGCACGCAGCCCAAAACTAGACAAAAAGGAGAAATTTTTTCGATGATGTAAGCGGTATCGCACAGAATTTGACTTTAATGGACTATTTATCGACTTACGTACCAGAAAAAAGCCTTTTAGTACCCTTGTTTTTGCTTTACGCTCCGAAGTAGAATTAAATTGGACACGCGGTATTCGACCCGTGATAGCTCAATCCGTACAATTTAGTGAAATTGCCAAAAAACTGAACATAGATTTGGGTAAATTTTTTCTCATCGAAAGGAAGCATTGTCCTTATTAAAATCATGAAATAAAAAATGGGGGTCACCGTACTCGTTTTGGCGGTAGAGCTGCAGAAAGTGCGCACCAAATGCATTTTCTCCGATTTTTGAGAGAGGACTGGGGAGAGTTTCAAAATCGAATGTACGTGAAAGGGGGAAGAAAGTATTAAAAACTCCGTTTTTATAGAATTTACATCGATATATCACATTTAGGGCACAATGTGAAAAAGAAAGCGTTTCAATGTAAATCAAAGTGAGTAAGCACAAGTTAAACATCCACTATCGAGGTTCTCCGTGAGGAAGTCGAACCCAGCAACGCGCGTACTGCTTACTTTATACACATTCCCAACACATTGAGTCTCACCTCGGCAAGAAACAACCGCAAGCACAACTTCCAATAGCATTTCTCTTCAGTCAACTCCGTTTCAATGATGTTACTTCATATGCTCTAATTTACGGCGGCCATCTTGTTATGCGCAAAAAACAGATGCGCAGTGCAAAACCAGGGAACACAACATTCACTGTTTTGACGTTATGCTAATTTTTGCAAAATAATGCGCACTATACATACCTCCGTGACCAGTAAATTTTAGTTTTTGGATGCAAAACATTTACAATACTCACACTGAAATGTACTAGTCATGGATATATGAATTGTCCGCATTAATTTGGAAACATTAGTATAACGTCAAAACAGTGAATTTTAAGGTGTTGCAGTAAATTAATCTTAATGAAAGTTTCAGACAATTTTATATACATTATGAAGATTATGTGAAGAGATTTTAAAAAAATTCGTTCGAGTCGTTTCGGGGATATACAAGAAAGCGCTAAAAGTCCGAATTCTGAATGAAGTTGCACTTATACAGGTGGTGAGAAAACCTCCTAGTTTTCAGCAAGATCGCAAGAACGCAAGTACACCAAAATTTCCTAGCACCAAAATATGATATTAAACATCATTCCGACCTACTTAAGAATAATTTGAGTCATTTATAACGTTTTTATCAAATAATCTATCACGGCTATTGAAAATTTGAGGTTTGAAATATATTTTCGTTTAGTCGAATTAAACATTCAGAATTTTTTAGTTCTTATGGAGATTGTTTGCCAAACACCAAACTTTAAGTTCCTAGTGTTGGATTTTCAGTAGCAGGTCTAGATCACACAAAATTCGGCTTTTATCAATTTCAAAGTTTTTTGTTGTTTGTTATCATAGTAATATCGATTTTACTTAAAACTAAATTTTCACAACTTTCAATCCGTAGCCAATTACTGGTGAAAATTTTATAGCGATCGGACAAGGAAAAAAAACACTTTTAAGGCGATTGAAAAATATCGGTATGGCCTCTGAAAAACTGTGTCGAAACACCTTAAGTGAGGTTACCAGCCGTCAGAAAATCTTGATCTTTAATCTCAAAGTGAAATTTTGACTTCAATACCGCAATCCGTTTTAAAGGAAATTCATTCCGAATTATGAGGAGAACGAGTCGATCAAAAAACAACAACTTATAGCGAAATTTGTTGTATCGCGCTGTGCGTTTTGCAAACTTCGAAGGGTTTTTGGGTTCCGTCAATCATCTTAGCAGACCTCTTAGGAAACACATGTTTGCTTGTTCAGGTTCAAAAGGTCATGGTTTGTGATTCGTGATTGGTGGATTTCGATCCGTTTTCGGAATTACTTACACTAGAAAGGCGCAGATGTTGGGAGTATCTCGTTGGACTATATAAAGAAGGATCAAAGATTATGGTTTAGAGGATTTTCGGTCGTTTAGTAAACTGTCTGATGACAGGGAAATCTAGTCAGTTTTTTTGAAGAACAGAGTCAAGAAACCATGAAAGGTCAGACTCCACATCGAAGTGGAGACTTGTTTCACCTTTACGAGATTCTATTTCCTTAGCCGGCATTCTAGCCGCCGCCGTTGCCATGTTTTTAACAAGCAATAATATGCGTCACTGACCAGAAGTAGAGAGGGCTCAAAAGACTTAATGAACTGAAACGAATAGTTGAATGTTGAATGAATAGTTGAATTTTGAACAAATAGTTGAAGTTGTTGAATAGATAATTGAATGGGTAAATGAAGAATTGAATTTAAAATGAATAGCTGAATGTTGAATGGAAAGTTGAATATTGAATAACGCGTTGAATGTTGAATATAAGTTGAATATAAAACGCATAGTTGAATACATAATACAAAATTACATAAAAAATTAAACGAATTGAATGTTGCTACATTTGGCTTGCCATACGTGGCACAGCCTCTTACATACATACATACATACATACATACATACATACATACATACGTACATTTTTATTAATCCTAGAAGTCATGTGACTATACAGGATAGTAGTAGAGGAGGGATGTTTTACGCCGGTTCTTTGCGGGGGAATTCCATTAACTTTCGGGGGAATACATTAAAGCCGGTGACGTCATACATATCATTAAGATAGAATGATGTCATGAATTAAATTAATGACCATGACGTCATGCATCCATTAAGATAGGATGATGTCATAGTCTATTTTCAGCTGGCTAGGAGCAAGTGACGTCAGAATACCCTAGGGGTTGACGTCATCAAAATGTTGACATCATAATCTATAAATAGAATAGTGATATCATGTCCCTACTTGGTCATGATGATGTCATATTTTTTCCAGGTAAGATGATGTCAGGGTTTATTTTTTACCTGCCAGTTTTTTCTATTGTTTCAAAACACATAAAATGGTCCTTCCTTACCAAGCAAATCATTTACGAATTGTGAGAAGAAGTCATGAATTTCAATCAGTTAACCACTTTCGATTTGGACGTTCCCCTGGAAATCTTTGAACCATGGGATGATTGGGAAAATGAGTTTGAAAAATTACCACAGGTAAGTGCTCTCTCTTTCTCTGTATTTTGAATGCACGTTCTCTCTCTGGTCGAGTATTGTTTCCAACTTAACCAAGTTTTACTATTTTAGGTTGCTGGACGGCCTTACTTGAACCAAATACAGAGTGGAGCTGGCAGGAAACGTCTAGCAGAGGTATGTTTTACAATACTAATTAAGGTACCTTTAGGTTGTTCGACATACTTTATTTATAACCACGAAGAGTTCAGGAGTCGTAGCTCGTTAAATCTCTCTCGTGAACTGAAATAGTCCAAAAATACAAATAGATAAAATCACAAAAATTAATAAGTTATAAAAGTAAAACATGGAATACATAAATTTAGCAGTGGTTAAATGGTATTTACATATTAACAATTATATTGAGAAGAAACAGCTTCTACAAAAGTTATCTTACGATTGATTCGATTTAGATAATATGATAAATGAATCCAGTTGTTAAGTTTGACGGACTTAAATTATTGTTTTACAAAAAACAACTTATGGTATAAATAAAAGAATGATAAAACCATGCAGATGAAAGGCTTTGTTCAATTGTTCACGTAATTTTGAGGCAAGACCGCGCAAATAATACTTGTCGCATGGTATCTCTAAAACGGATTGTAAATCCGTCGTTAATACACCTTACAATTTTACAGGATGAAGAAGATATTTCTTCCACCAAAAGGTCTCGCCATGTATGTGAAATCTGTGGAAAAGTCTTCACTCGACCAGATAAATTAAAGCGCCACGAAAAAAACACATACCAACGAGAAACCACATCAGTGTAATAAGTGCGACAAGTCGTTCCATCGCAATTGGGATCTGAAACGCCACGAGAAGCAAGTCCACGAGAGACGAGCGGCTCAGCGGGAATATCAGTGTTCAACCTGTGGAGAGACATTTCGAAATCTGGCCCCATTTATAGCACATCAGAAAACAGCTCACAGCAAACCCTCTACGACTGCAAAACGTTCACGCCAAGACGACTTAGGTAGGAAGACTCTTTTGCAATACCAAAATAACATTTTATATAAATTAAATGATAAGTACTATGTAAATTTCCTTCGCAACGCATAATAGATAGTAGGATGTGTTGAAAAAGTACTTTATCGGCCTTTGTTTACAGTACCTTTTACACAATACCTTGCGGAATATAATGGAGGTTATACATTGTTGAACACTTCTTTTGTCCTTATAACCGTACTTATTAAAGGCTTAAAATGAGGACCATTTTAACCAGGAACCATCGTGTGGCCTACATCGAGATCACTCTCCTTTATTGCCAATGTTGTTTTGGAAGACTATGTCTACTCTTAGGTGTGATTTTGGCATGTTAAGCTGAATCTTGCCACCCAAAAACTGCCTAATCTGACGTTTTCAAAATATATTACAAAGGCCTAGACCGGGAGTCAAATGAGAGGTTTTATTAAAAAATAATAATAATAATGAATCAATTGAGTATACACTTTTCGTTGTAATTTAGCAGCCTTTGTTTTTCGAGAAAAAATAAAACTGCGACTTCAAGAAATGTCAGAGGTAACTTCAGAAAATTGTCATTTACAATTATCTTTAATTTTTCATATATTTCGTGTGAGTGTCACCATTTTGTTTTGTAAGCGTGGGGATAACGCGAGCTGAATTTTCCGTAATTTTTTGGTGGTGGCAAGTTCACAACCAATGGAATATAACGTAACTTTTATTTTGACCACATTGGAGATATTCTATTTGGATAGATGTATACCTTTTTTTTTTCTTTCAGAACGAAAAACCAAGAAAATGAAGTCGACCCCTATCGAGAAAAGGCAGTCAACTCCAAGTTCTAGTTGGCAGCAAGATACAAGAGCTATCACCGACCTCCCTGAAGCACAACAAAGTCTCGTTCCCGAATACCGCAACCACTGGCATCAAATACGCACTCGTTTTAGCCGCAAAAATCGCCTTTTGGACTGGTACAATTTCCGCCTGTCCTCTCTCCAACCTCAAGAACTTATCACTCATTTGAATGAAATTTTTACTGACCAGTCCACGGTGTTTAAGCTGAATGTGTCTTTTGGTTTCATTCTACGCAACAACGAGACTGGAGCACTTCAATATTATTATGCCTGCAGAAATAATGAGCAAGTCTTTGAAACGCCTTTTCAAATTACCACCGCAGCTGACCTTCAGCAAGTCCGTGAAGCATTGTTAAACCTTGACGTCTTGGAATGGGTACGCCAGCGACGCCCCAACTCCAAATGGGTCGTAGAACAGGTGACCAATGTAACCTTTTTCGTCACCAAGCTACGGGGTCATCCTATAGGGAGAGGTACTTACTTACCTTCCTATCTGGCCGAGAACCATGGTTTGGTCGCCTTGGATCGCAACCGTAATAATGGAAAAGTCTACAGCGACAATTTGTGCTTTTTTCGGGCTTTGGCACTCCACAATGGTTGTCACCAAAAGAATCTAGAGCGGGATGCACAACATTACTATGAGCGATATAGGGAATTTTTTCCTGAGAAAAAGAAATTTTGTGGTGTAAAGCTGAAAGAACTGATCGACCTAGAACACCTCTACGAAGTCAACATTTTTGTCTATTCCCTCGAACCCACTAAACCCGATGGAGAGGAGGGAGAAGAAGACATAGAAAAAGAGGAAGAGGATTTCGCTCCTGAGATCGCTGCGCAATTGATTTACCGCTCGCTTTGTCACTACCCAAGTACGCTGTACCTCAACCTGTACCAGAATCACTTTTCCTATATTAAAGATTTAAAGAAGTATGCCAAGTCCTACAGCTGCTCGCGATGTGGAACTTTGTGGAAAGATGGGTTTAAGTTAAATCGTCACGAGCGAACCTGTGAAGCGAAAGTTAGTTACCAGTTTCCAGGAGGTGCTTACAAGACCCCACCAACCATCTTTCAGTTGCTTGAAGACGAAGGGTTGACTGTTCCTGAGCATCTCAAGTTCTTCCCCTACAGAGCTACCTTTGACTTTGAGTGTATGTTTACACCTGAGACAGACCTTAATGATACAAAGAAACTGACATGGGACGCTAAACAAATACCCCTCAGCGTGAGTGTCTGTTCCAAAGTTCCAGACTACGACCAACCCAAGTGCTTTGTGTCAGATGGGGAATCTAAACAGCTCGTCAAAGAGATGTTAGAATACCTCGTAAAAATAAGTGAAAAGAGTTATGACCTGTTAAGAAAAGAGTTTAACTTTCTTTTTGAAGCCATCGACCAAAAGCTGCAAGACCTACAGCAAAAATTAAAAGCTGGTGACCCTTCAAAAACTAACACAGTAGAAAACCTCACCCAGGAAGATAGCGATGATGAAGGAGAAGATCTCATGGACACAGATAATGAAGAGGAAGAAGAAATGGAGTCTGAAACCGAAGAAGATCGTGTCTTTATTGACGATGACGTAGAAGAACAAGGTGCTTCGTTTTACAGGGCCTTATATCGCGAACACGAGGATCAGAGTGAAAATGATCACGAGTGTGAATATGACAGACCCGAGGACAACAGCCCAGAACCTGAGAAGAAAAAAGTGCATCCTTTAAAGAAACTGAGAGATCGTTTCCAAGAATATCTACAAGAACTTCCTGTCCTGGGCTTCAATTCTGGTAAATATGACTTGAATGCTGTCAAAGAATTTCTGTTTCCTGTCCTGGTCCAGAATGAAGGCGTTCAGTTTACTATCAAGCGTAACCACAATTTCATGTGCCTAAAGACCCCACATCTTCGCTTCCTCGACGTCACCAACTTTCTTGCTCCCGGATTCAGCTACGACAAGTTTCTGAAGGCCTACGAGTGTCCTCAAACCAAGGGGTTCTTTCCTTATCAATGGCTGGATTCTCTTGAGAAATTAGAACACCCCTCCCTTCCACCTCACGAAGCGTTCTTTTCTACGTTAAAAAACAAGAACATTTCTGACGAAGACTACCAGTACTGCCAACAAGTCTGGTCGAACAATAATATGTAGACCTTTCCAGAATTTCTCATCTGGTACAACAACCTAGATGTCCAACCCTTTTGTGAGGCCCTGGAAAAAATGTGCACCTTCTGGAAAGATAAAAAGATCGACATGTTAAGACAAGGTATTTCTATTCCCGGCGTTACCTTGACGTACCTCTTTACCACCCTGGAATCTGGCATCTTCTTCTCTCTGTTTGACGAAAAAACAAAGATCTGTACTATCTCTTTAAGAAAAATATGGTGGGTGGCCCTAGTATAATATTTCATCGATATCACGAGGCGGGAAAAACCAAAATCAGAGAAAAAGAAATGGAGGATCAAGGAAAACAAGCAAAAACCTGTCAAAAGATTGTTGGATACGATGCCAATGCTTTATATCTATGGGCCATCATGCAAGACATGCCCACCGGATCATTTACAAGACGCCGAGAGGAAACTGGCTTCAAGAGAGAAAGTTCTTCCAGGATGGCAACCGAGTGGTTAGATTGGAAGGCACATGAAGGAGTTATTTTTATACGCCACCAAATGAACAATACAGAAAAACGCATTGGTGAAAGAAAAATACCAGTGGATGGTTTTCACGGTCCTTCTCAAACAGTCTTTCAGTTCCATGGCTGCTGGTGGCATGGGCATATCTGTCATCTTACTAAAGGAAAAGAAATGAACGAAAAGAGAAAAAGACCAATGGCGGAGTTACGAGAAGAAACCAAAGAAACCTCCAAGTACATCAAGGATCAGGGGTACCATCTTGTGGAAATCTACGAGTGCCAGTGGCGTCGAATTAAGAAAACCAACTCACAAGTTCAGCAGTTTCTTGACTCCAAGTTTAAGCGCCCTCTTGATCATCACAAGACTCTGACACAAGACCAGATCTTAAGCGCAATAAGAAGCGAGTCCCTCTTTGGAGTGGTCGAGTGTGATGTTCGAGTACCTGATGCACTAAAACCCAAGTTTGCAGAAATGTGCCCCATTTTCAAAAACATAGAAATTTCAAGAGAAGATATTGGTCAACACATGCAAACCTTTGCTGAGGAAGAGAACATCATGTCACAACCTCGAAGAAGTCTCGTTGGTAGCTATTTTGGTGAGAAGATCTTATTGGCTTCCCCACTCATTAAGTGGTACTTGGAGCATGGTCTGGAAGTGACTCATATTTATCAAGTAGTGGAGTATACACCCGTTCCCTGTTTCCAAACCTTTGGGGAAGCTGTATCGGATGCTAGACGGGCTGGAGATGTAGACCCAAACAAAGCCATCATCGCAGACACTATGAAATTGGTAAGTTGTTCTCCTATTGAGGGAAAGGAGGAAGAAATACGTTTTAAGGTACAAACTACTCATACCAATGTTGTCTTTTTTCATAGGTGGGGAACTCGAGTTATGGAAAGACGATCACCGATCAAGAACGCCATCGAGAAGTCCAGTTTTGTGAAGAAACCAAAGCGCTCCGCTTAATAAACAAACCCTTCTTTAGACAGATTGAACTGATTGATAAAAATACGTTTGAAGTGCAATCTTGCAAGAAAAAAATCAAGTTGAACCTTCCCATGCAGATAGGTTTTTTCGTTTATCAATACGCTAAACTTAGAATGCTTCAGTTTTATTTTGATTTCATGGATAAGTATCTTGATCGTAGTGATTTTCAGCATTGTGAAATGGTCACCGACTCTGCCTATATCGCGATCGCAGGGCAATCGGTAGAAAGTTTAGTAAAACCAGAGTTAAGAGGAGAATTTGAAGCAGACAAGGCCAATTGGTTTCCAAGAACCGACACTCCAGAACACAAAGCTTATGACAAAAGAACACCAGGTTTATTTAAGGAAGAGTGGACAGGGGCAGGAATAATTGGTCTAAGTAGCAAGACCTATTGCTTTGGGGCCTATGATAAGTTCAGTTGTAAAGGGGTTAACAAGAAAACAAACGACATTAACAAAGAAAAATATCTTAATGTTCTGTCCACCAAACAGAGTAGTGCAGGATTAAATAAAGGTTTTCGGGTAGTCAACAATAGCATGTATACTTATGAACAAGTTCGAGATGGGTTTTCCTACTTTTACCCGAAAAGAAAAGTGTTGGAGGATGGAGTTACCACTATGCCTCTAGATATATAAAATTGTGTTGTAAATTGATTGCTGTATTAAAAAAAATGAGTATCAAAAAAATTGTAACGTGTGTGATTCATAAATAAAACAATTTATATGTAAATAAAAAAAACGCGTTTCTTGTAATTCTCTGACCTCAGGCGCGAGTGCGTTCCCACGCACAACTTCCCCTCGCGACCTTCTCGCGAGTGCCTGAGAAAAAAAAAAACACTCAATTTCTGCCCATTATGCCCTTGGTGCCCGTTGTGCCCTCGAAAATAAAGGATACATTCGTGTCGCAAATAGATTTGTTCGGTTTAAAGTCTGCTTTGGTAGCGTTAATATGAAAAAACTAAAATGCAAGCATTGTCCTGTTCCCGGCTGTGGGTCAAAATTTTTAGTTCGATTAGCAAACCATTTGGCTCAGGTACACGAGCTGTCTAACTTAGAGAGAAAATATTGGCTCCAGTTTGCTAAATTACAAAATACCAACATGGTTCGTGTATATGGAACAGTCTTCCTCTGCCAATAAGACAGGAAACATCAATTGACTCTTTTAAACGCTCTGTTAAAACATATTTATTTAAGAAGGCTTTTAGTTAGATTATTTATTTATTTATTTTTAAATATTGTAATTTTACCGGGTAATTTTACTGGTTTTTAATTTAGTTATTAATAATATTGTAATGCGCTTTTGAGTATTTTTATAGAAAAAGCGCAATATAAGTATTAAATATTATTATTATTATTATTATTATTATTATTATGATAAAGATACTCCACCAAAGACCATTTCTCTATAAATAAGAGCAAACGCAGTTGAACCAGTCAGTTGTCAACATGGACCCAAGGTGGAAACACCCCTTTCCTGCTATTGTAGCTGGCCCCACTTGTTGTGGAAAAAGTCAGTTTGTCAAACACCTGTTGGAATCTGGAGAAGAATTAATAGATGGAACTCCTGAAAATATCATTTGGTGTTATGGGATATACTAACCGGCTTACGATGAGATGCTAGGGACTATTCCCAACATCACGTTCGTCAAAGGAGTTCCTGGTGATTTAGAATCCATGATAAACCCAACCATTCGAAATTTAGTGATCATTGACGATTTAATGCAGGAGCTTAGCAACGATCAAAGAATTACCAATTTGTTTACTAAGGGCTGTCATCACCGAAATTTAAGCGTTATTTTCATTCTTCAAAATATTTTTCACCGGGGAAAAGAACTAAGAGACATGAGTTTGAATTGCCATTATTTGGTAATGTTCAAGTCTCCGCGACATAGCAGTCAAGTCAGTCACTTGGCGAAACAGATGTTTCCCGGTCATGTCAAATACATGCAAGAAGCGTTTTTGGATGCGACAAAACGCCCTTATGGTTACCTGTTATGCGACCTCAAACCGGAAACGCCTACCGACTTCCGATTGCGCACAAGCATTTTCCCTGGAGAGACTCATGCAGCTCGCCTGTGTCAGAAAGGTATAAAAAAGCTCCATCGTAGTGATTGATATCAGTTGAGTATGGCCCAGCGACTAAGAAAGAACCACGATTTTCTTAAGCTCCTCGTCAAGTGTACCCCAGCTCAACGTAAAGCAATTTTGAAAGCAGCCGACGACGCTTTAGTAAGAACCATTTGTGAGTGTGTATTCAACGTACTTAAAGAAACAGTCCCTGTCAGTAAACTGGCAAAGAGAAAACTTCTTAAGCACAAGAAAGCCTTGACTGCTTTAGCTGAAAAGAGTACCCCGCTAAACAAGAAAAAGCAAATCTTGGTACAACACGGAGGAAACGTTTTAAGTGTTTTGCTACCTCCCGTTCTTCGGGTGTTGAGCTCGCTTCTTACTCAAGATGAATCATACAAGACGTATGGTTCTCGTTCCTGAGAACACTCTGGAGCGATTGCAGCAACGCCAGCAGATATTAACACCACCTGTAACACAAACTCTGAAAAATCTGGATAGCCAAATGGGGGATATTTTAGAAAATAAACAGCTTGATGATGAGGAAAAGGCGAAGCTTTACAATCAGGTGTTGCAACGGTACTTGACTTATTACGATCAGCGGAAAGGCCAGCCTCTCCATGTGAAGTTAATGACCGCTAAAACAACAGAAACCCCCAAACCAGTTGAGAACGCAGAATCTACAGAGGAAGCTTCTCCAGATAATTCTCTTCCAACGGCAGTAGAGGAAGAGGTCATGAAAAGTGTACCGAAAATTTACAAAGCTGAGGCTAGACAGTTGTTGGATAAAATTAAAAAACACCAGGATGTCTTGCATTGGAATGATAAAGGAGAGCTGTTGTATGAAAACAAACCAATCCCAGGTTCTCATGTGGTCGACCTAGTCAACGACACATTGCGTCACCGAAACATTACAGAAACGCGCCCATTGAAAAACGTCGCCCTTGAAAAGTGGGGTACCCATTAGGCTTTGCGAGCAAAAACGAAGTTTCAAAGACTACCGTCGTTTTCGGTCTCTTATGAACTTCATAGCGGTTAACTATTCACACTTTCAAGAGACAATGCAGAAACAATAGAAGTAGGTTGCCATTATTTTAAGTGTTGGAATGTCTTTGTCATTGCTACAAAGAAGGAAATGTTTTAATATGCAAAGAGAAGCATTTTTCTTCCTCGTGCACTAACATAAAACCCTCGCGAATTGTGTAGTCTCGTGCGAATCGTTTTGATGGCAAAACAGTTAAAGGTAATCCGAAACCAAAGTATTCTTCATTTAAAAACTCATCTTCACGAAAATCACTCGATAAGATTGAATAAAAACGTTTGCAGCGTTTATAAATATTATTATCAGAAGCGGCATTGTAGTTGTTTTCAAGAGACGGATTAGATCGCTGTTTAGGTTTGGCCGTTAAATATGTAGTAATAGCGTTCTTAAAGAAAGTATCGCTCTTAATTTTGCCTTATACTTTGCTAAAATCAATATCTTAAGTGAAGAATTTAAGTGAGAGTGCTTTTTTCGTCGAATTTGCCCGTCAATTTGAAGGTTTATAATATTATCCAAAACCCGTGACAAAAAGTAAACCTGAACTATTAACGCATCGGTTGCGCTCATATTTCATCGATCAATTCCAACACCAAGAAGTTTGTAAAAGGTAGAAATTCATTTTAAGTCAGTTCATTGAATTATTTACGGCAAAATCAACAACAATCATCGAGGATTTTTCAATTTTGAAGCGTTTAACAGCAAAAAGTCACATGCTAATTCAGAGTAAATTTAGACAGTTTTTAAACAGACTGAGCTATTGTTAGTCGCGTGAAGTTCTATTCTTTATCGAAGAATAGGCAAATTTTGCGGATGTCTGAGCAGGAACAATAACCAGGAAAGGGATGTACCCTGGGGATTTCTTGATTGACACTAAATTAAGTCATTTTTCACTTATTTGCATTTTCACGATCGACGTTTTTGAATGGGCGCGTTTCTGTAATGAAGGATTTGAACCAGTGGGGTGGTCCGTGTTTGCGAGGGGCCTAGCGCGAATGAATGTCCCCGAAAACTTGGTTCGTAATCCCCAACGTCAGAGTGCCATAACAGAGTTTAAAGCAAGAGTGAGAGAGGAGACCCCAGAAAGTCCTTCGCGTTGGCTACCCACCCCACCTGTGACGTTATCTTCTGTCAAAAAGCAGAGGCGAGGAGTCGAGAGTCCTCGCCCTCAGGCTGTTCGATGGTTACGATTATAAATCATGACAAGAGACTTTTTTTATTGTGAAACACAAAACTTTATTTTGCTCAGTCAATAAAATGTGTTGAAGAGAAATTACATGGTGTCTGTTTACTGAACTTAGTGTTGTGCTTTTGCTCTTTGCTTGTTTACATCAGTACGATATTTCGGAAAACTTATAGGAAAATATTTTTCAATAAATCGTTTTACAAGACTATCATTTTTACTTGTGTCTTTAGAAAAACGATGGACAATGGTACTCATACTTATTTGCCGACTACGATATAAAGCAAAATACAAACAGTAATGTCCGCAGACTTTTGAATAGATGCTTTGTAATGTCACAGTATTAAAAGTCCACTGGCTAGAACTGTTGTTTAAAAAGGTAGTAAATGTTGCTGAGTATTTACTGGGTGGTGATCCGTAAGAATCGAAAATTCCCCCTCGTGCTCCTTGGTGAAATAAAACGCCACCCAATGTGAACCTGGCTTGTCACTCGTATCCACATTGGCGATAAACAGGGCTGGGTAATGTGAAACACTGGCAGGCAGCAGGTCTGAGGGATACACGCCTTGAAACACACCTCGTGTAAATTTATCCTTTCTAAAAATAAGGGTCAGTTTAGTAGTGTCCATTTTTAGTTTGTGTAGTCGAACAACACGTTGCGGTTCCCGTCAACTTCAATCACGTTTTGGAATTCAGCGTACACGATAAGGTTAACCGTATTGGCCAGTGGTTCCTTGAAATGAAGCTCAGCGCGCAGGTTACCTTGCTTTATTAGCTCAAAATGGTCAGCTGAGCAGTGGTCTGGGGACAAGTCAAAGCAGAATGCTGTGTAACCAGAGCCATAATCGCTTCTACTGATCTGATTACCCGCATCTTGGGATAGCTTTCCAGTACCTGAGAACAGACTTTGATAGCCCGCTATTACATTTTGACCTCCAGCTTCGTCAAAATTCAAGAACAGGGGTTTCCGTGGAATTTGCTCTCCGTCCACATAGACACCCACTTGAGTTAGATTGTGGTGTTTGAAGTTGAACGGGTTGGTACTGTAAGTTCCATTATAGGCCTGAGTATCCACTAAGACCAGCACGATTCGTTTGGGGATGTGACCCAAAAAGATGTTGTCGAGGTTAAAACTGCTAAATCCTCTTGGAATAGACAGCACTTTACAATCTATTCGGCGAACCGGGTACTTGGCGCTGGAGTGTTTTAGTGCAGCAGCATGGCCAAGTATAATAGAAGAGGCCAATTTCACCTTGCGAACGAACAAGATGGCTTCTGTGATTACCACCTTGAAAGTTGGAGCGGCTGCTGATGACATCAGACAAAACGAGTTCTTGGCTCGGTTCAGTTTGATTCTTAAATTCACTCCATTTAGCATCAACCGGTCTTTAAAGAAAATGTCGCTATGAATGGGCCCCATCATATCCACAATATGACTTTCTTTAGTGAAATAATAGCGAACCTTTAACCCCTTGTTTGCGGCATCGTCTGCAGCCACGGGGTTGGCAAAATCCATTTTTCCAGGGGTATCTTTGTAAAACATGGCCATAGAAAGTTGACTTGTTTTTGCTTCTTCTCCGTAGTTTAGCAAGGTTTCGATCATGGCGCGATAAGGGTAGGTATTGGTAGATGGAGAGATCAATCGCTCGTTCAAGGAAACGTCCACTTGCGAAAAAAGGGAATGTAAAAACAGGTTCACGGGACCTACTTGTGTATCGGCATCTATGGCGGTTCCATTTGCTTTTGTGATCGTGGCTTTCACAAATAACTGAGTACGTGCCAAGTCCAAATACTCATCTCCGGTTCCCGAAACATAAAATTCGATCGGACCACTGTCCGTGATGTTACTGATGGGGTGGTACTCGATCCATTGCCCTTTGGTGATAGAGGTTTGTGTTGCAGGAATCGCAAAGAGATCCAACTCCGATTTCGTACATTCCTGAGACTCGTGATGCACAAAGGCCATAGTTACTTCCAGAAAGAAAATTTCTCTACGGGCTTCTTTTGCTGCGGAGATGTTTTTGCCTTCTTGGCTGGAGGCGAACTGATTTTGGTTCCTTGCGCTTTTCTTTTTATAGATTTTTTGCTAGCTCCTGATTGTCCCTGCAATGAATTCTGGGAAGGTAGACCGAGGGCTTGTTTCGTGCGCTTGTGGACTGCTGTTTTAATGTTATCTACATCAAGAACATCTTGGACAACATTGACTCCTGTTTGTAAAGCCTTTTTTCCAATCACCTTAGCACCCTGTTGAAGGTGAGGCATCGCCCAGCGAAACAGGCCTCTGAATATGGACCCTAGTCCATAACCCCGCTGAAAGCGAGCACCGTGAAACGCTGGTAAACTCCCACCTTTTTGTTTGGCCTGATTAACATAGTACTGTTCGTACAACTTGTGATTTGGAGTGTGGAGTTTTTTCATCTTAAAAGTACTGAGGTGCACTTTGACGAAAATGAAGTGTTAACAGCACTCTCCAAAAACTCAAATGGTACAGACTCCCCTGTGTCTGTCTTTATATCGACTTCGACGGTTTCAAATTGCTTTCTGCTGACAGGTAAATATTGGGGGGGCAAAAACGATTTGCTGACTCGCTCCCCGACCTTTCCTTCTACAGGAACAATTCGAAGCAAAGGTACCAATGCATCTCCAACATATTGTGACTGAATAAGATCACAGTAAATGAAAAGGTCGTGAAAGCCATACTCCAAATCCACTTGTCGTTCAGCGGTAGAGGTATTAGAAATAATTTCTTCTGGTGAAAATCCCAGCAGGTATCCAATGCTACCAAAGAAAAGTTCTACGTTATTTTGTAGGTAAATAGTCACCTTTCTAGTGAACGTTTCGCAGAAAAATGTTACATCGTTATTGAAACGCTTTACATTCTCGATCAGCCCTTTCATCTTTGATAAGATATCTTCAATGGAAGAATAATGACCCGGTGGTATAATTAGGACCTCCCATACTCCAGGCAATTCTTGGTTCCGAAGGAAGAATCGATTACCAAAATTTCCTTGGACATTATTCCAGCTGTGAGGATAATGAATTTCTGTTAACGCTACTTCCCAGTCCCCCGTCAAGCTAACGGTTTGAGGTAAACCAACATGGTACTCCGTTAATGTGTTGTTGGGAAACTTATCGAGGCTGCTATTGCTTGGAAGATGCAGGTAAAACTGTGTTACCTCCATCGTTTCGTGTGTTCAAATGAACATTTATTCCTGGCGTTCTTATATTAATTTATAACTATACACAACAACATTTGTTTTCAGTTAAAATAACCCTTATATTGGCTTCACACAAAATGTCAAAACTTTGAGATATTACTCTCTGCTATCCAGCTATTAAACTTGTCTGGGTACCCTTTCCATTTTACAAAGTATTCAACTGTTCCTTTACGCTTTCGCTTGCGCAAAATCTTTTCAACGCGGTACACATCATCGTTCTTAATTATTTTCTGTAATTCGGGTTCATAAAACGTTCCATCTAAGATTTCACCTGCATCATCCTTTAGTTTGTAAACGGGTACTTGACGCGCCATTCGTTTGTATACAGTAAACATTTCTTCCGAGAAATTAGGCAGGTAAGATTTTTCAAACATTCGCTTCACTTTGCTGATCCTAACACGATCTCCCACTTGAAATTTAAAACGGACACGCTTTTCAACGTCATTACCATACAAAGTATCCCACACTTTAGTTTCATTCGCTTTAGTCACCTCACTCGGTTTCATTTTAATACTTCGGTGGTAAGTGTTATTGTAAGAGGATACTAGTTGGGGTAGTACATTGATATAGGTGAGAGTGTTTTTAGCTGTAAAATATTTGTACATCTTATTTTTAAATGTTCTGTTAAAACGCTCAACTACTGAGGCCTTGAGCCCAGAGTTTACAGTAAAAAAGTCAATGTTGTTGTCACGCAGATAAGTCTGAAACACTCGATTAAGAAACTCTGTTCCTAGATCCGTTTGCAGTTTGCTGGGTTTGCGACCAGTAGAAACGATCTTTTGAAAGGCTTTGACCAGTTCTTGACCTTGTTTTGACTTCAAAGGCAGCACCCAGGCATACTTGCTGAAGATATCTATACAAGTCAGTAAGTATTTATAGCCCTTGTTGTAGCGACTGAGATTTTGAAGATCGACCAAATCCGCTTGAAACTGGGCATCTATTCCAGGAACGATGACTCGGCTGTTTACGCGATATCTTGTTATTTCCTTTCTCTTTGACTGCTCTGTAAACAGCATCTAAACCACCGAAACATGCGGGTTGACTTGGGTCGAGGTAGATGCTGGCTAGTTTTTTCTCCATCACAAAATTCCGAGTTTTGTCCAACCACTTTACCACCGCAGCAAGCTAATACACAACGTATGCGATTGAAAATGTGTTCAAAACCAAAAGTGGATGATGGCGGACAGCAAACCATCACTAGTGTTTGTCTGAACGGTAAAAGATGTAGTGACTTCTCTATCTCTGGTGCTCCTTTATATAGCTACTGTGGAATCTGAGTGAGAGTGGGAACAAGAAGATGAAATAGTAGTTCCCATTCCTCCTCAGTTAATCCCAGCTGATCCGCGAAGTTCAAAACTACTACTAATCGTCCCAAGTTCACTTTGGAAAAGAGTTCAGAATGGAGTTGCTTTAATTTTTCGAGATTTGAGCCCGGTAGTTTAAAAAATTTTTCTTTAAGCTTTTCCATTGCACTTGTAGATATTGTTCAATTTTTTGCTGTTAAGCGGTACCAAGAAAACTTGACCCGAAGCAAAGAGAGAGAAAGACCCATCTTAACTAAGATAAGGACAAACACACACTGACGCAAAATGAAAAGATCAACTCATTTTACTACGTTTACAAACAAAGCTTGTTTTGAATGTCATTAATTACAGTGTAAATTTCCATTGGTTCTTCGTCTTTTCTCACTACTTGTTCAGGGCATTCTATCTCTGCTTGTTGGTCGCTAAAATCCTTGCTCTTGAGGCCATTAGGTCCGTCGTGTATAGCGCGCAAGACACGACTCTTAATATCACCATCAAAACCATCTACTTCAAGTGAAGCTAGAAATATGCTGGTCCAAGGCATCTTTGGTAGCTCGCTGACGTACATTTTCCACGACTGACCAAGCTTGAAACGAAGAGCCTTACACACACTTTCAGCATTGTTTAGAACAGCATTCAGATCGATTTTTTCAACCACATCTTCTCGGTAGTACAACCAAGAATCCTCTTTATCCATCATAACACACGAATATTGTCTTTGACTTGTGTGCTGAATAGCACAGCCGTGACAGCGATTCAACTTTTCTTCTTGAATTAGTTTGTCAACCATATTGGCGTAAGTAAGTTGGAAGGTATGACCGATAAGACCAGCTATACTTTGCCGCTGAACTTGTTCCACTTCATCAATAGTCAATAAACGCCCACGTCTCGAATCAACGTGAATGTTTGAAACCATCTTGTTTATACTACTGAATCTCGAGAATGATTTGCTTGGTAAGGAATGACCATTTTATGTGTTTTGAAACAATAGAAAAAACTGGCAGGTAAAAAATAAACCCTGACATCATCTTACCTGGAAAAAATATGACATAATCATGACCAAGTAGGGACATGATATCACTATTCTATTTATAGATTATGATGTCAACATTTTTTGATGACTTCAACCCCTAGGGTATTCTGACGTCACTTGCTCCTTGCCAGCTGAAAATAGACTATGACATCATCCTATGTTAATGATATGTATGACGTCACCGGCGTTAATGTATTTCCCCGAAAGTTAATGGGATTCCCCCGCAAAGAACCGGCGTAAAACATCCCTCCTCTACTACTCAGGATGCTAAAACAGTCAGCTACGAAATAGAAAAGGAGGCAAAAAAAAAACTAAATTAAGTTATTTACAACAAATAAATATTTACATTGCATTTCAATATTGTCCTATGGATGGCAAAGCATTCGCTTGGAAGTCAGTAACAGACTCAGAATTAACAGCAGACAGTTGGGAAGGCCATTTCAAAGGGGGATAACAAGTGGGAAAAAGGAAAACTTATATGCATTGGTGCGAGCAATGATATGTCTGAACTTATGAGGATGGTTAGAGCGATTGCTTCTATGAGGGTGTGAATGGGGTTAACGTTACCGACTAGCGACAGAGGGCGAAAAATGTTACTGACTACCGACAAAATGAGTAAAAAAATTACCGACTACCGACAGGAAAAATATTAACCGACTACCCACATGGGCTGATATTATCAATATTTGTTTCCAGAAAAAAAAGAATTTTGTATTTAATCTAACCGTTAGCTCGAGGAAGTAAGTAACCTCTTTAAATTTATGACTCGTCAGATGGCCTAAGCGAAAGAATTTCCTTTTTTTGTTGTTGATACAGGTACATTGCTACAGTCAATACCAAAATCACAAAGTCACACCTTAAAGATGCTACCGACTTTATAAATTTTATTGAAAAGTCAAAGGTGAAAAAACCGAACGTTTTTTGCTTAGATTAATCCTCAAAGAAAATTCTTTCCCGTTTAATGTAAAGAACTATCAGTACAAACCCACGTTACCGCGATGAGCACAAAGACAGCAGTTTCCTTTCCAACATTTTCATGGCACATATTGAAACACAAAGTTTAAGCAAAACCGTCTTTAAACCAACTGTTTGAAAACGCTACATAAATGACATTTTTTCCCTATGGGACAAAAGTAAACCAGACATCGTAGGTTTCTTCGCGGAAGAAGTAAACTTACATGCCCTCCTATGAAATTCACGGCCGAAAGATCTGAAAATGAGACATTCTTTTTAGAAACGGTTGTATACCAAGGTACAACATTCAGCGAAAAAATGAGAAAAAGCTATCCTTGACGTAAAGACGCATTTGAAACGGAAACCTTACAGTATATACATTTTCACCTCTTATCACCCACCAATTGATAAAGCGCCTGTTTGACAAACGAGAGGCCTTGAGAATCCAAGGAACAAACTCCTCTGAGGAAGTATTTCAGATTTCAAAAGCGCTTGATGGACAGAGGCTAACCACACAGTTTTGAAAGAAAAATTGCTATTAGAAGTAAAACTCACAGAAAGGAAGGCAGCGCTCCTGAAAAAAAACAACCAGGAAGAAAAAGACTGAAATATTGCCTTTCGTGACACAATACCAGCCCTTAGTGTCTATAAAAAAGAAGCTTTAATGAAAAAGTAGAATCTCATACAAAACCAACCACTACCTTGCCAAAATTTTAAAGAACCACCTAAAGTGCTATTTCTTTGAGAAAGGAAAATTATGGCAAAGGACATGCTTGTTAGAATCAAAACATGAGAGGGATAGATGTGCAGCCTGTCATCCCTTGCAGTTTTTCAATAAAAATAATTTAAGTATCCAAAAGGCGAGAGTCCAGTAAGTAATTAATTAATTACTTTTTACTGTGCCCTGTAGTCGACAGGGAAACCAAGTTCGCATTTACAATAAAGGCTTGGGTGATTTTGTCAGTACTAATTATTCATTTAATGGCAAACAATGATGAAATAAACGTTCATGTTTCATAAAAATCAAGAGTTAATGAACGGTTTAGGCGCAATCAAATGATGCATTCTTGCAAGTTTTACTCTTTCCTTAGGGATCAAAGTCTTGAAAAGTGGGTGAAATACATAAAAATATTAATAATTAACAAGCGTTTTTACTTATTAACTGAGATTTTCCGACAACCGGCGAAAATCGAAAAGTTTAACCGACTACCGACAAAGATCGAAAATTTTAACCGACTACCGACAAAATTACTGAATTTTAACCGACAACCGACAAGTGGACCCCCCCATTCAGACCCTCTTCTATGAGCTAAGATGACAGATGCTGGAAATGTTAAGTGAGTCCAGTTGTGCACAGCTTTATACATTATGGTAGCGGTGTTTAGATGTCGACTGACTTCAAGAGTGTCCCAGCCTAGCGAATGCTGCATAGAAGTTACGCTGGAAAACTGTGAATAATCTGAACAGACAAATCTTATAGCGCAGCATTGGACAGCCTCTAACGCTTTTATGTGTTGTTTTTCAAAAGGGCTCCAGGCAGCTGACGCATATTCTACACGGGGTCTCACGAGAGAGTTGTATGCTTGGGTCTTAACATACTGGCTGCTTCCTGAAAAATTTCTACGTAATAGACCCAGTATCTTCATAGCTTTGTGTTTAACAGATTTTACATGAGAGTCCCATTCTAGGTTATCTTGCATCAAAACACCAAAATATTTATGGCAAAAAATTGATTCTAGTGGGATATTACAGAGCCTGTAACCAACTGGAAAGTTAAGGGGAGACCTAGTAATTGACATGATGTTATATTTAGTTAAATCAAAATTCATTTGCCAAGTAGCAGCCCAGCAGGATAGAGTGTCAAGGTCTTGTTGGAATAAACTGACATCATGAACATTTGAGACTTCGGAATAGAGAACAGCATCATCAGCAAATAACTTAATTTAGAGTTAAGTTATGTACAATATCATTGATGTAAATCAGAAACAGGAGGGGACCTATGACTGTGTCTTGAGGGACACCAGGGGTAACACTAATCCAAGAAGACCTTGTGCCAGAAACCTGGACATACTGAGTGCGATCCAGTAGGAAGTTCTCGATCCAAGAAAGACTGTTACCAGTGATGCCATAATAATTAAGTTTAAGTAGGAGTCTCTGGTGGGGAACTGAGTCAAAGGCCTTTGAAAAGTCAATTAAAAGTACGTCTGTCATGGTTTGTTTGTACAGCGAAGACAACCAATCGTCAAGGACGGAGATAAGCTGGGTTTCAGTAGAGAACCCTTTCCGAAAGCCATGTTGGTGAGGAGTAAGGATATTATTGATCTCGAGATGGTTAGATTAATGGCTGCACAGAACATGTTCCATGATTTTACACGAGATGCATGTCAAGGAGATTGGCCTATAGTTATTTAGCAAGGATTTATCATCCTTCTTGAACACAGGGGAAACAAGTGCCTTCTTCCACTCCTCAGGGAGGTTGCCAGTTATATAAGACTGAGTAAAGATCACTTGCAATATCCGAGCACATTGTGGGGCGAAGGTCTTCTTCTCTTTTCTTTTTAAACAGTTAAGCTTACTGCTGGATATGTAAATATTTAGCTCTACTGTCCCCACCCCCCATGTTTGAGTAATCGTTGCCCTCTGACTGTTATGATTAGAATACACATGTGTGCACGAGTTAGCAATGGTAATTAGTGGTTAAATCCGAATCAATCCTTGGTTAAATCCGTAAAACACTACACTTACAACTGTATGCTCCCTACCATACCAGCTTATCAGCGGGAAAAGCCGAATTTACATAAGTCAAAGCAATCGTGATCAGTCATTATGAATTTCTCTTTTCTTTTCAGATTACGTGATAGTTTTCTTTGTCTTGGGTTTTCTGGTGCAGGAATACTTAGAGGCAAAAAGACAGGGATACTATGTTTATATGTCGAAATGGTGGAATATTGTGGACACGATTATAATCTTGACCTTTCTTGTGAGTTATGCAATGTGGATGATCTCTTGGCGACGTTTTGGTAAATGGAATCCACGGGAACAAGTTTTCGTAATAGCCGATGTGTTGTATGCAAGTGCCACGGTGGTGGCCTTCTTTCACTTGACGCACATTTTCCAGGTAAGTTAACAAATTTAAAGGGGCTAATAGCTACGAACATTTTGCTGTTTTGGGTCAAGTTCTGTGCTGAAGTCATTGCTTAGTGCTTTACCCTTATGCAAAATGATCCTGTAGCAGAGCTATGTAGAAGATTCCAATTAAACAAATGTCATTAAGGAGCACCAACCATAATATTTTTTGGTGATTCTGCAGGTATAGAATAAAAAGGTGGCCCAACTTGTTCAAGTTTCAATCCATGTCCATCCTTTCTGTCCGTTGACACAGACGACATGAAATAGTTTCAATGCCTAAATATAGTCTTTTGTCCTAAATGACTAATTTCCTAATTTTTTTGGTCCTCATTTTTGTCTATAGTCTCTATAGTCTTTTATCTTAAATGACAAAACTGGACCATTATTTTTGGAATTCAATTGATGGTAAAAAATGTGTTAGCTTTTTAAGAAGACAGCAAGTACCATAAAAAAGCGATGTTATTTGTTGACGGATCCTAGTATGTAGAATATCAAGTTCATAGCCAATGTTTTCAGTGGTAATGGTCTAATTATGTAATTACTGATGAGAGTAATAATAATAATAATAATGAACTTTTTTTAAGTCTCATGTTTTATAGCTCAGGCACAATGCCTTACTAATTAGGGAGACTGTATCATATATACAAAACTCTAGTAATATATTGTAAATTCTAATTTTAATTTAAACTCTAAATTCTAGTTGTAATAAATAACTACCTAATAATATCTCTGAATCGTAAATTGAGTAACTCTAAAAAAGAGAAAAATGGTGAAGCGAACTAATGCTAACTCTTGCAAAGGACACAGTCGTTACACGAGTTATCCATTAACGAGGCAATATCTGTCTTTCTGATGCCTTTTTTAAAGTTAGTGAGTGTAGGTGCTGATCTTACTCCCGGTTAATTTTGGACCAAAGAAGTGGCCCAAAATGCCTGAGAGAGTGTTTGCCGTATTTTGTAGCGTTGAAACATTCCTGTCTGAAGTCTGCGTTTCTGAGGTTATAGCTTGTGTGACTAGTGTTAAATAGTTCGGTTACTGAGCTTGGCAACATGCCGTGCTTTATTTTGAACACGAAAATGGCTATACCTTGAAGCCTCCGCTTATAAAGTGTTGTCATTTTTGCTCTGCTTAGGAGGTAATCGCACGATACGGACCAGTCATTTTAGACAGGCCCCTTTCGTTAATGCGATCCTGTTTTCGCCTATCACTACCCTTACAGAAGTGCCAAACGAGACTACAGTATGTGAAGTGTGGCATAACGGCTGTTTTATAGATTGTTAGTTTTGTGGTTGTGAAAGATCAAGAGACAAAGTTTACTCGTACTGAAGCTTTTCTCTGCCTGATGTGTATCATTCCTTGTGTAAAAAAGTTAACCCATCAGCTACCTGTTATAACAACAACAAATGCTTTATTTGCATGACCATAAAAGAATTACAGTATTGCAAAAGCTATTAGTCTAAATTTAAGTACTAATTCAACTAATTAGTACGTGCAAAACATTGCAAAACGTTACAGTTCTCATTCATTCATTCATTCATTGATATTATTTTGGTTCTTAATTCAAAGCATTGAGAGATAAATGAAACTAATTGACAGTTAATTAAATAATCAGAAGAATTGATAAGAAGAGATATTAAAGTATCGTGTGAAAGGGATTTGAAGTCAGGTATTTTAGTTTCTAGTTTGGAGAAAAATAAGTCTCTGATCTGAGAATAAGCCTTACAATCTAGTAAGAAATGATTTTGATCTTCGATTTTGTTACTTGTACAAAAGTGATATATCCTTTCATTGCGAGGAATGTTTTCGTATCTAGCTGTTTCAATTCTAAGTTGATGACTACTTTTTCTAAATCTACAAAAAAAAAACAATAAAAACTGAGTTTTTGTGATTGTTGAGGGGTCTGATTCCAGTGAGAGACGTATTTATTTTTCATTATGTTGATATACCTATTAACTATTGAGTCACTCGATGAATTACAGGAAAAGTCTTAGTTTAGATCATAGTAGTCAACCATTTTCATGACATTAGAAAAAAAGCTAGTTTTTCCGTTATGATGAAGGTCAATTGAAATTTTTAAGGCCTGTTTAACTATAGAATCTTCATCTTTACCTCACAGATAGTCTAAGTAATTTAGAATTTTTTTTTAACGATCATGGGAAATTTACCGAGTTCAGCTCTACAAGCAATGTTGGATGCCTTGTTATGTACTTGTAAATAAGGTTGACAGAATTGCAAATGGGTTTTTTCAATTGCAGAGCTGTCCCAGGACTTAAAATCTGATTTAACAATAGCACCCCACACTTCACTGTTGTAGGTTAGAATTGGTGAGATCATCGAGTCAAAAATTTTACACGCAAGTAAGGGCTTAAGACTATTCAAATCCGTATACCGCCTGAGGCTGAAGAGCGCATGAAGAGCTTTTTGTCGGAGATGTTCAAGCGAAAGTGTAAAATTTCCGGAAGATGTGATGCGAGTTCCTAAGTAAGTATAGTTTTGGGCAACGTCGATTACCTTATTGCCTATGCGGAAGTTATGTTCACATTTTCGTGTACATCGTTGACAAATCATTTATTCTAAGCATCCATGAGTTGCAATATGTAGATAGTACGTTAAGGCAGTTTTGTAGACCAAGTTTGGATCGCGATAATATTATCAAATCATCTGGGTAAGGGAGAGAGTTGAGTCTGCTGCCATTTGGTAACATGAAGGGGTCTGATAAAGCATTGTCAAACGAGAGCGCTAGATCGTTAAGGTATAAGTTAAAGAGCAGAGGGCTTAAAATGCAGCCTTGTCGCACTCCTCTTGCGTATTGAAAAGATCGCGTTTTGTTATTTCCAATCCTGACAGAGCAGGTAGACTTCGAGTATAGACTCTTAATTAGACTATAAAACTTTCCTTGGACATTCATCTTAGATAACTTATAGAGAAGCCCATCATGCCAAACCGAATCAAAGGCTTTCCTAAAGTCAACAAAACACGCATATATTTTCTCCCTGTGACAATGGACATATTTGTCTATTAATGTTCGAAGTGTGAGGACATGATCTGCTGTTCTATTATTTGCTAGAAAACCAATTTGAGCCTTGTGAAGTATACTATTTAAGTCAACGTGCTTTAGAAGTCTCTGATTGAGAATTGAACAAAATAGTTTTCCAATACAACTAGAAATACAAATTCCACGGTAGTTTGATGGATCGCTTTTGGTACCACATTTAAAAATTGGTGTAATTAGGCCATCACACCACATTTGGGGCATAGTTCCTAAGTCGAGGACCGTGTTAAATAGTTTTAGATAAACAGGCATTAATTCGTTTAGGCTAGATTTGATCCTTTCGTTTTTGATTTTGTCTGAAAAAGAAGATTTATTGTTTTTGAGTTTTCCAGCTGCAGTGCGAATTTCACTTTCAGTGATGAGGTAATCCAAGGAGCGAGATCGTGTCGTAATATCATTTGAATTCTGTAACTCATCTATAATTGCCCCCTGCTGTTCATTAAGGGGTTCATTCGAGTGCAAAGATTGAAAGTGGGACATCCATTTTTCTTCAGAAATTGAAGGGGTGTAGGTTTCCTTCATAGTTTCGTCCATTGACTTCAAACAGTTCCAGAAGCTCTTATTGTTCGAATTCTCGACCGTATTTTCAAGTTCACAGATCTTATTGCTATAGTATTCGTTTCTGTTATGTTTCAAAAGGTTTTTATATTGCTTTAAGACGTTGTGAAACTCTTCCCTGAGGGTATTGTTTAGAGGATCTCTGTGTTTTTGATTAGAAAGTTTCCGCAGTTCATGTCTTATATAGCGGCATTCTTTGTCGAACCATTTTTTGTTCGAAGATATTTTGCAACGTCGCTTTTTTGCTGTTTTGATTTTCAAACAGCGTTTTGCGGTTGAAACGCTGAAATAAGAATATTTTCTACGGCATCAAGGTTCATGTCAACATTTCTCGTGATTGTTGTAGTACTCATAAAATCGTGGATCATTTTTTGAATGTCTTCAGACTGTAGTGTAGCTCTAAATTTTTGTGACGAAACGTTTTCCCAAAAAACTGTTTTGGTAGAGGAGTCAAAGAATCATTTATAATTGCCTCGTTTGATGAATCATTATCTAAATTACGGTTAACCTTAAGCCATGTTATTATTGGACTATGATCTGATAAACTGTTCGGCTCTTTCAAAATAAAAGATGTCATATTTCGTAGCAAATCTTGGTCACATATGGAGTAATAAATGAGACTGATTCCCGATTTACCATGAAATGTAGGTCTACCTAACGAGTCGCCATTAATTCTACCATTTAAAATTCTTAAATCCGCGCTTCTACAAGTTTTTGTGTAGCGATTACTAATTTTAAACCATAAAAAAATTGGTGATTTTTTGTGCACTGAAATCCAATCGTCAAACGTTAGTTTGTAGAGCAGAGCTAATCCACCCGAGTTACGTCCGCATTTTCCTGTTTTCAAGGTATCTGTAGTCACAATCTTGTAACCGTTTACTTCAACAGTCACTTTTTTCCATGTTTCGGAGAGAATTACGAAATCAAAAGAATTAATCATGTTTTTATAATCCAAATTTTGGCAATTTCCCCCCTAATAATGTCGACGATAGCCCATTAATGTTCCAAGCAAAAAAAGATAATTTGCTGGGGAAACTTAAGGGCCCTGGCATATTGTATCAAACTTACTACCTGAAGAAAAGAAAGCTTAAATCAGATATCCCGGCAAACTAGCTAACAACTAGCATTGAAAGTTGTGGGTTATGTATAAGATATTATACAAGAGTCTTAAAGATACCAGTTCCTTTGGGATTTCAACTGCCGGGGCTTTTCCAACAGCACAGTCGTTTTGGAGAGGAACAGAAGGAATCGGTCCCACTGCCGCTAAGGGAGACGGTGAGAAGCTCTGTACATTGTAGTATTGCGGCGGAAAGCTCTGTTGCTGTTGCGGTGCTTGCAGAATGTTGTAGGTGTTGTGACCGTTTTTAACTGCATTACTGTAAGAGGCATGGCCCGAGGAAGTTGTATATGGTAAACGGGGGGTAAAGGTTGTTGCTGCCGCGAAGTCTGGTGGACTTGGCTGTGTATGTTCCTAGCACCATTGCTGGAGGGACGATAGCCTTCCGAAGGACTAGTGTGAAACGAGTGCGACGAAGAGAGTGAGGATCGGTACAATTGGCTGGAGTTGGAGCGAGGTGGTTTTCCTCTACCACGAATGGCTGCTTTTAAGTTTGCTGCGAACAAACCAAGGTGTCTTTTTTTAAGATGTTTTCTGTCATGCTACACTTCAATTCCCTTGGAGAAGATATTTTCATGATTGACTAGATGGACGTTTGGTAGTTTTGAGCAGCTGTCAATAAGGTTTGTGTTTATTTTGGATAAAGTATGCAGGGGAATGCAATCGAATTTCTCTCGAAGAAAAGTAAGTAACTACTTACTTTGGTGAAACCGGCAGAAGCCTAGCACGCGACTGACCGAACACAAACGAGCGACAAGAATTGGTGACATATTCAACAATCGCCGAATGCCATTTGTAGACGAAACATCAAATCGACTGCAGGGACTCTGCGACATGTATCACGTATTCTACACGACTACTATCAACGACTCACTTTAGAAAGCTGGTTTACTAACTTAGCACAAACGCTACTGAATGGTAGTCAACAGTTACCGGCACAGTACAAAAGACTTATTGACGAAATCAAGCAATGCAAACAAACTACAGGAGAACGACGGACTGGACAACCGACAGTTTTGACTAACAATAGACGACTGTTCAATAGACGGATCGAAACACACCAATTACATTACGAGTCTTGATAGCCAATAACATCACGGCTTAACTTACAGACAACCAATAACATAACGACGTAATTGACCAATCGGGTCAATAACCAGAGTTTAATACCTGCCATCAACTGACGTGATACAACTCACTTTGACTCTGAAAACGACTACCGCACAGTACAGGTTGTCGAAACGTCAGTCACTGTCAACAACAACTGTCCTATTCAGGACTACGTTCATCCGGACGATCAAACTCGATCTACTTTTGAAATGACTCCTGGGTTCAAACCTTTCACAGTTTTACAAATATAATACTTACACAGTTTTGAGTACTTGCTCAATCGTGCCCGGACAGGCACAAGCAAGCAATGAGAAGATATATATAGTTATTACCAGGCTTCCAATGTCACACTATGAAAACTTGAATTCGAATACTTTCTATAAACAAGGACAAGAATTTGAAAGTTAATATACCCTATTACATGTAATTTCGGCGACATGTTAATTTATCGATTTTTGTCAAAGTTGGAACATAAGTCACTTAAATTTCGCGATTTCACGAACTGAAACTTTGGCGAATTAAGGTATTCAAAACTGGAGCCGCCCATGGTCATGAGCTCCTGGATAAAATAATAAAGGTCATTAGCTTAATTTAAATCAAAATAATACAACGTTCTGAATCTTAATTTTTGGACGAAACAAACGAAACTTAATACTGTCCTCACTCGTATTGTGCACGAGACATCCCATACACGTCATGATCGACCGTCAAATAGCATATTGTGTGTGAAACTGACTGTCGTATAGACTGACCTTGAACTTTGAACAGCGTTATATTGTTGTAACTTCAAACTTGCCAGGCGGTCATCTCGTCAATGTATGGGCGCGCATGTCACATGGTAGAGACTGTATCTGAACGCTATCTTGAATTATAGGTTTTTTTTATTATGGAAGTTCTGTTCCTTGTCTGTTCGCTTGCCTTTGTTTCTCCTCTCAACTGACACTAGCCGACTGTGACAAGGCCCGCACGACAGCACTGACCAAATGGCAGAATTTCATATTGTACTCACTTTAATTTAGCGACGATTTAAATTTAGTGACAGTTAATTTTGGTGTCGACAAAATTACATGCGAAATGAAGATCTCTATTGAACTGAAAATCTTTAGAAATGAAAGTATACAAAAGTCCAAATACCATCACGATGGTCGGTTGCTAGGGCTTTTGCTCCCGTTTGGTTCTTCAATTCAATTTCTGGCTTACAGAGGGGTAGTTTATATTTCAAATGAAGCAAAACATTTGAACATCTTAATTGGAGAAAAGTTTTCTTTAAATTTTTACAATTGTAAAGGTATTTTTGACTTTTCTTGAAAGTAAGACGTCATAAGTGACACCTATTTTTAGTAACAACGTTAAAAATTTGATAAGCACTGTTCAAAAAGTCGAAATATTTACAGTGAAAACCCCATCTCAATCGGATAAAATGGAGTGAAGTTACAGGTAATTAAAGAAATTCAAATTTCCCGCCTCATGACCATATATGGTCAAACTTTAGGGGTATTTAACGCGAAACAATAAATGTATTTACAACGGAAAAAAGACAAAGCTGCATAAAATCAAAAGTGTAGTTTTTTGAATTCGGCATATGCGGTGCCATGACGCGTATTTCGTCACAAATTACGTCGTTATGACGTCAAAATGACGTAATTCGTGACGAAATACGCGTCATAGACCACACATCCTAAACTCAAAAAACTACAATTTTGTTTTTATGCAAATTTGTCTTTTCTCCGTTGCGACTACCTTCATTGTTTTCGCGTTAAAATACCCCTAAATTTTGACCATATATGGTCATTTGGCGGGAAATTTGAATTTCTTTAATTAAATGTAACTTTGCGCCTTTTCATCCGATTGAGATAGGGTTTTCACCAGAAATCATAGAATTCTATACAGAAAACTAATTTAAAATTTTTAGCATTTTTTTCCTGAATTTTCTTTCTGGTGCCAAATTTGGACATCATTTATGACGTCACAATAGAAGTCACATGGGGTGAAAAAATCACCAATAAATAGGTAATTTATCAACTTACTTCCTTGCCAATTTTGTTACATTCGATGCACTCTACTTCTCTCTATGGCCTTAAACTCTCAGTTTTGAGAGGTATGGGAGCAAAAGCCCTAGCAACCGACCACCGTGCATGCAAAATAAAATCTCGGAAAGACTGATAATGTTAATGACAAAGCACGTAAATTAGCTATTGCTGGCTTTCACATGACCTCATCAAAATTCAAACTAAGGAATTGTCAAATCCTCATGAGTTCATACTCTTTGATTTAAGAACAGCTCAAAGCTAATCTTTAAACAAATTTTGACTAGAAAGAGGCTCTTCGTTCTGTGATAGAGTACGCATGAATTTCTAAGCTTTTACGTGACGTGGCATTTACAAAGCAGACGAGAGAGTCGTCAGAACAGTTTCTTGTACAGAAAAAAGTATTATTTTAATGTCCATGGGCATCAATTTTAAAGCATTAGCATAACGTCAAAACAGTAACGCGGATTTAATTGGCCGATTCGTATGCAAGGTTCGTCTTGAAATTTAAGGTGTTACAGTGAGTAAGTCAATCTTAATGAAAGTGTCAGACTTAAGCAATAGAAAACGTTTTCCGTGTTTGTACAGCCTGATATAAACACGAGAGGGGTTGGGAGAATTCGAGACAGCTTCGTCTCGGGTTTGCATAACTGTCGAGAATTCTCTTAACCCCTCGAGTGTTTATATCAGGCCACGCAAACACAGGAAAAAAGTTTTCTATTGCTTTTATAAAATAATTTTCCCAAGAAAAACGCAAACTAACTCTTTGTTATGGCCCTGATTAAAAGAGAAATTCTTACCAGTCTCAAAGTCTTGTACACGAAGTCTTGCAAGCGTAATCATTCTTGTTTTGCAAAAGGATACTTTCCAAAGAACAGATTTTTCTCGCTAAAAATGTCAGCTTAAGCGAAAGCAAAATTCACACAGCTTGTTTGTAAAGATTTTCCAAGCTCCAGCTGACGAAAGAATGGGTAAATAAAGTGAACTTGTCTAGCTTTGAACTAAAAAACTTTTTCAAATTCGTGCTTGCGTGATTAGCACGCGAAAAGAAAAACATCTTGACGTCCCAACGATGTTTACATACTCTCATGCAAGTTCCAGGTGTCGGATTTTCAGTAGCCGGTCTGATCGCTTAAAATTCGTACATAATTCGATTTCAAAGTTTTTTGTTTATCGTTGTCATAGTGATATCGATTTTACTAAAAACCACATTTTGACAAACTGCTATTCAAAGTCAATCACTGGTGAAAATTTTGTAGCGATCGGACAAGGACAAAGTTTACATTTATAAAAGATTGAAAAACATCGGCATGGTCCCTGAAAAACTGTATCGAAACACCTTGATGAATGTTACCAAATTGTATAATTAATTGTAAGCATAATTTTAAGGTTTAGTACGTCAAGTAACCTGTTAGTATTAACATGGGAGCGCCGCTTTTAGCCTTGGCAAAATTTATATCTTACACTCATTGTGTCTGGTCCCAAATTTTCCAGATAGACTCTGTTTTGGGTCCTCTGCAGTTGTCCCTCTACAAGATGCTCAAAGATGTGGGTCGATTTCTGTTTATTTACCTGTTGCTCTATCTATCGTTCGCGACCGGCGTTGTGAAAGTGTATTCCTTCTATGTCACCTCACAGATAGAGTTACAGAAGCAGAACATGTCAAGCGACCCACAGGACTCCCATCCATATGACAAGTATGTACACATTTTTAAACCTTGTGTATGTCGACCGCTTATTATAAGCGAGCTGTTTAAAAGGCGTAACCTTGTTGCAATTAAGTGTAGGTAATTAAGGAAACCGGAGAGTCTCAAAGACAGTCAAATTAATTAATTAATATAGGTACACTTCTTTCTTAAATCATAAATCTGTCACTTTTTCGAAAGGTATATTATAGCCGTCAACTGATAGCAAATCGATATTCGCAGTACTACGGTAGACGTGACTTAATAAGCGACTTTTTGAGTGTTTTCACTGTCCTACAGTCCACATAATAACGGCTTCATGTAAGCTTAGGATATCGGGATTGACGGTGCGATAATATCCTAGCTGTTTCATTTCTTTATATTCTTTTTCAATATATGTGTAATTTTTACTTATGATGAATAACATGACCCGTTTAGTAAGGGCACCTCTCATTAATACGGATACCCTTCCCTTAGTTCCCGCATCAACGGGATTTGACGTTTCCATTTTTCTTTTCATTCCCAGCCACCCCAATTCCTTATTGGCCATGTTTTGGTTGTTGCTCGGTCTCGTTGAAGAAGGTGATATCGCTGTCAAAGATCCCAGTTTTCATCTTACGTCTGCCTTTGGTCGTCTGTTTTTGATGGCGTACGTGATCTGTACTGTGATTGTAGCCTTGAACATGCTGATTGCCATGATGAACAACTCATTCGAGAAGATCATGGTGAGAGAGTAGTAGTTTTGTTCAACCCCAAATGTTAAAAAGATAATTCTGTTTAGACATGTCATTGCCCCCAAAATAAAAATAATGGGCTATTTGCACGATAACGTCTCTTTAGCTTGTATGTTTTGTTTTCCCATTAGAGGTCATTATAGAGCGTTTTCACATGACGTCACGGCGGCCATATTGGTTTTCCAAAACAATGAAACGGCGGCCATGTTGGTGTACTAAGAAAATCCTCTGGGAGTTGAACTCTTTTCTCATGTAAATGCTTTCTTTTGTCCAATAAATTAGCATAGATTCTGGCAACGTCAGTGAAAACGCTCTAGTTATGTGCGTGCGCGCGCATAATTTAGGAAAAGACAAAGGTTCAAGTTCCCCTGGGACCTCTATCGGGAAAACAAAACCCCCAAGCTAAAGAGGTCCATTCGGTAGTCCCAGTGAGGTTTAAATAACAAAAGCCTTAATTTGCACGAGAAAGCAATACCCTGAAGGATTCTGGTAGAAGTAGTAGAATGACGCCATGAGCACAGTAGAAATCCGCTTATGATGGAACGGAAGGCTTCCATCTCAGATACCTGGGAAACCCGGGGTATTCCTGGGAATTCTTGGTGGGGGTGCAGTGCCGCGCGGTTCTCCCAATCCTGGCCTTATTTCAGGCCAAAAAATGTCATTTTCACACCCGTTTTGAGACCTGGTCTCTAAGAAATTATGTCATCATTACTTAGATTAGAACGCCAAATAAAACATTTCTTAAACCACTTAGAATTCGTATATTACTTTTTCTTCCTTATGCACTTGGAATTGAAACGACAAATACGTTCATACACTTCCGTAGTTCCTTCATTGAAAAACTATACTCGATTCCAGACCAAAATGGGCAAAATGTACTACCCCACCCCACCCCCCCTGGTTTGGAAACAGAAGGCCACCCTGCCAACAGAGCCGTTCTTTTGCTTGGTCGATTTTAGCATACTCGAGAAAGACTCTGCATCTCTTCATGAATTGAGTAAGATGTTTTCTGAGTATGCCGGGAATGTTGATAGGACACAGGCCTATTAGAGACGTGCTGTTGCTTGCTAAAGAAGGCGCAGTTGTGACCGTCAGTTTATCTATAAACGAACGTTCGCACTCGAAAACCCAGTTTCACTATAGAGAAACAAGATTGACTAGTCCAGAGTTTCGGGCTGCGGTGGCCTCAAAGGCTTGACTCCTCGCTTAAGAAAACAAAATTTAGGATTAAAGGTTGAATATCAATCATCCAAAAAGCCATTCGTTAGTGCTCTTGTGACATCTATGAATGCCACTGTTTCAGTAAAAAACAAGATTGCGGTTCAGTTCCAAATTGTATCTTGATCTTTTTCAAGAGGAAAATTTTTCTCACTGAAATATATCCATATTTCATCCTTTGCAAAACGTTTGAGACAAACTAATATGCCACTTCCGAGTTCCAAAAACCCTCACTTTCAAACTGAGGCTAGGTGCATATTACCTTCCTTGTGAAAATGAGTTTTATTTGCATGAGAATGAAAAATCATTTCCATATCAAAGGCTGCGCACCACTCGGAAATGGCAATTGGAAAAGGCTCAAGAACTGAGATGGACCAGAATAGGGACACATCTTTAGTGATGATTACATGGATCGTTTTTCCTCTTCTTGCTACATATGATAAAAACAAAAATGAGATGAAATGATTTCTCAGGGTCGTTCTTCATTTATTTGAAAATCTAGCTAATTACTTTAACTAACACATCAATGAAAATAGATTCATTTGTCATCGCGGCGGAAAATAGTGTGTTTACATGGAATTTAGTGAATGTGTCTCAAAATCCAGACCCCAATTCTAGAAACTAGCTGATACTCAGTGCAGAAACTCCCGTTATTGAAAGAATTACTGAAGCCTTATATATGGAGAGGGAAGGGGAGGTTGGAAAAAACACGATGCTTCACATATCATCATTTCCTTATGTAGGACAATGCAGATGTTGAATGGAAGTTTTCAAGAGCCCGGATGTGGCTGGAGTGGATTGACAAAGGAAGCACGATACCAGCTCCTTTAAACCTAATCTACTATACTCTTTTTGGGCTGTTTAAGTTTTTTGGCTGGTGTTTGAGAATCTCAGTAGAGAAATGCCCATGTTTTAACCAGGTTTGATTTTAAAATTCCATATTGATACCTATATAGGCTGGATACATAAATTAGATACTCTCGGTTTTCGATATCCACTCACTAGATTAATCCACTATTAAAATTATTGCGCGGGGGAATTACTCACCTGGTACAGGCCGGGAAAACTTTCGTTGACTCTACTTTACACTGATTTTTAACCTCAAAATGTAATCAAAAGTTACCGTTCCTATTCCTTGCTTTTGACAACTTCTGGTCATCCATCCACCGTTTTAGGCCTGTCCATGGACTGTCTTATAGCATCGGCTTTGACCCGAATTACCTTTGATTTTGGCGTCCACCCTGATTTAGTCACAGTATGTGCCTTTGTACGTCTTAAGACAAAAATCTAGTTTGAACGTTTCTTTTAGTCACCACCTGTTGTTACAACCTTTACTGGATAATGACTAGATTACCAGTCGACAGTTTCATTAATAATTTTTTTGTCTTTTGTAGCAAGATGAGGAGAGGAATAGCCAGGGAGATCGTGTAAGTATACCTATAGATTGCATTGTTGTGTTCAAAACTTGATTTGCTTCAGTTTTCGTTTCGACTCTGAAGCAGTTTATCTAATGAAATATCTCAAGCATGTTAAGGACTGGCTCACTTTTCGCTATGGACCCCACCCATGAGGTTTAAACTGTTTTTCTTTAGAAACCATACATGATAAAATCTTTAAAATTTATTGGAGGAAACTTATTTTGATGAGTTTACTTGACTAGGATTGAACTGATGCTTTCACCTGAATCGTAGCGTTTTAAAAATATTCCAAAAAAAAAAAAAAAATAGGATGTGTGGGAGGAATGTCAATTAAAACTAAAACCGAACCATGTGCAAATGTTTGATTTGGTTTACCTTTTAATTATTTCCGCGGCCAGAATGGAAAAAAAAGTTTTTTTTATTATCAACAAAAAATGAACAATAAAAAATGTCACGCGACCTGTTTTGCTTCATTATTAATGAAATGAAAAAATAGTCAACCATTCCAGCTAGATTCATACGAGGAACAATAATACAAAAACTGAACTTAGTATCTTCTGTCGGCAGGAGCCCATCAAATGGAGCCTCCATCTCCATTAATTTCTTGAGTCAACCCTTTCCCGAGTAGATTTATAAATAGAACGGCTAGTTTCCCGCGAAAAGTGTCATATTTCCATGAGTCTCGTGTGTCACCATGAAAAAATAAAATTGGATGGAGTCGAACTCAGAAGCCCGTCCTTCGACCGTTTTCCTTTTTTCCTTTTCGTCCATTTTTACAATTTTACAGCCGCTGGGATCTGGGTATCATGAAATAAAAGTTAATGAATTACCCGACTGAGACTGAGCATGAAGCGATGGGACAAAGGCAACGAACTGCGGATCACGGAAAGGTTATCTTTGCGAGTGTTCTTTTTTTTTGCTGTCATACATCCCACATTTAAGCATGTACCTTGAAAAGAGTCGACGATTAAGCGTTCTGTGGACGATTTGGAACTTTTCGATGATCAGCGCCGAAAAAGTGCCAGGATCATTTGATTTTTGTCATCACCGTGGAGTGGATTTCGCCAGTTAAGAACCGCGTGCAAAAGCGATGACCTAAGTAGCGACCAACGAGGAATGCTTCAGCTCCGAAATTTGAGAAATTGCAGTCTTCCTTTACAACTGACTTGTATCACCATGAGAGTTGCCTGATAAAACTGGCACTTGAAAAGTTGAACAGAAGACAACAGTTGCTCGACCGTGAGCTAACTCAAAAGTAATTTGCTAACGGAGGAATTTGTGACATCGCGCTCCAGTCCAAAGACCCACTTATCTCAAGAAAAACAAAATGGATTGTATCTGCGCCAAAAGAATTATGACTGACTAACAGGACAATTCTCAGCAGTTAATGTAGAAGTTTAGGCTCAATCCTTCCTTCGAATTCGCATCTGTAGATCACTTTTTTGCGAGAAGACAATGGCTAGACCCGGCGTTACAAAACATAGCAGGGAATCATCACACTAGCTGACGGACAAAACAACCACAAGGACTACAAGTATTTATTCAGATAAACGCATTTCGGAAAAAAAAACACCTTGAAAAACTAGAAATTTGATTAATACTGAGTCATTTAACCGAAATAAGAACCTTAACGCTCAAAAAAATTGGCTAAAGAAAACGAATCCTGTCAGAACTACAGACTGCAGGTAGTAGTTAATGATTATGGATACAGACTAGCTTCACGGCCTCTTAATGTGAGACAAGCAACCAAAATTAAGATTAAAATAGTCAGAGTTTAAAATTCTCCACAGTATAATCTACCCGCTAGAAAGAAAAAATAAAGAAAATCTCTGAGGGATGAAAACGCTAAAGTCACGTTTCACTAGCTTATGATTGTGTTTGGCCTGTCAACAACGAATTTCCTGCTGTTTGATGAAGTACAACAGCAGTGTCATTTCGTCGTTGTGATTGGCTCTTCCCACCGTCGGCGCGCGAAGTCTCCCCTGGGAACCGTTCTAATTATAAATCTACCCGGGAAAGGGTTGACTCCAAGGGCTTGTATGGGAGATGGAGGCTCCATTTGATGGGCTCCTGCTGTCGGGCATCACGCCACCGCAAACTTCCCTTTCGTGAACGGTCGCTACCATGTTTAAGACACTTCAAAATTTTTTATCTGTTATCGAGAGTGGTCCTCTTAAAAAGAAATACGATCGCAAATCAGAGTCGAACCGGGGCCTTTCGTATTCTAATCTTTCTCCCTTAAGTGAATAGCAGGTGAGGTGACCCTAGCCCTTTCCATAGCTTTTGACGTAAATTTAATGCACCTATCAATGTAAACCCCGTGGGGAGTGCGGGCAAGGGGTGGGGGTTTGACAAATTTTAATTTTTTTTTATCAAACTCCCCAGGGTGGGAAACGAAAGGTCAATCAAAAGTGTCAAAAAAGCCCCCACCCCAGGGGAGAAAATCTAAACAAACAATACTATAATACTTTAAAAACGAATAAAAGAACATTTCAAAAGTACGTTCTTTCTACTTTAATTTAATTAAAGGTTAACATAAGCTCCGTTAAATTACTCGCTGTAGTTAAGTATTTTCTCTCTCCACTAGCATGTCTTATTTTGAACAACAAAATCCCTCCAGGAAGATTGACCGTGTTATTATAATATTAATGAAACGTACAATGCTTTATAACATCCGTTCAACATGTCGGAACAGGTCGTATCGGTGACCCGTAAAAAATCCTCTGAATTTCATGGTGGAATTCGATTTCAATCGAGTTTTACAATCAGATGGGAACTTGAAGATAAAAAGTTTCTCAAAATAGACATTATCTGTTTATATGACAGGGGGATAGTCTCAGGCACCAAATCCCCGCCCCTTGCCCGCCTCCCCCAACACGGGATTTACATTGATAGGTGCATAACTTGGGCTTCAACGTCGCTCTTTCTAAGACTATTGAAGAAACGGATCATTTGCCTTATTATACAAGGACAGGTCAGGTGACCCAAACATCTGGTTTCTTACTATACGTAACACAAGAATTAGGGCTACCGATTTTTCCAAGGTTGGCAAATTTTGGAAAGGTATGGTAAATTTCCACAAAGTTATGGTCATTTTTTGGTTTTTATTTCTTTGTGCAATAATGCAGTATTCTGTGCTTGGTCTAGAGTAGAAATTTTCAGCGCTAACAAAGGAAAGTTCCTGAGATAAATAAACTGCAAAAGCACCTGTTTACGTAGGTCACAGAAAGCATGGGCGGTCAAGCAGTAACCCCGAGGGAGGGCCTTACAGGCGACTGAGGCCGGCGCAATTCGCACAAAAATCTCCTCTCTGCGCTTAATTCGCGCCTTGAAAAAACTGACGTTGAGAAAACTGGACTGTTTTTTAGTCTGTGATTGAAAGCTCTTAAAAAATCTCAGAATCGTCTATAGTACCAATTTATAGGTTGCAACTTGCTATTTGGATCCTTTGAATGTAACTGCAATGTCTTCATCATTGTTATGCTTACCACCGATTGTTAGCTTAATTGGTGGGAAAAAAGACCTAGGTGTCGAGGGCCCGGGGGCTTGATTCCCAAAACACAAACACTCAGAGTCAAACTATCTGAGGAGCACGTGCAGCATACTCACTGTGCTCTGAAATGTACTAAAACAAGTCAGTTTTGCTCTTATATTCGACTTAACTTTACGCAGAAAGATGAGACTGCAAGCAAGAGAGCAAGCAATGTTTGATGCATGCAGTTTTTTTCATCACGATTCCAATACGATTTCTATCATGTTTTCATCGGCAATTCAACCATAGGATTATGTTCAGTAACTCCCCTCTTCCGACAAACCGTATGTAGCAAGTTGAAAATCGTCCTTACACTGGCCTAAGCTAAGTGGTAGATATTCAATTATTTTTAACAAAATACTCACAAATGGTGGTTATTAGATTTTATTACAGCTAATCGTTAGAAATTGGAATTAGCAACTATAAAATTGATTTAAACTTTGAGGAATTTATATTAGAGTGACCGACCGCTAATTCATATATTTTTAGGCAACCCATATACAGGAACGAAATGATACAATGATAGATTTGATCCTGAAATACCTGAGAAAACACTATTTGGAAAACAACTAAGAAGAAAGAGCTGACAGGTACCATGATGAAACAAAGGACATCACAGATGAAGCAGCCAGACTCGACAAATCACCAAAAAATATACAAGAAAACATCAGTCTATTGAAAGACCTGGTGGATCGCCACGCGAAAGAACTGACTGAGCTTAATAAGAGGCTTGGCAGCTTGGCTAAGTGATTCAGATATATTGACATCAACTGTAGCAACCTTCAAAAGTAGGTTGAGTTTGATCGTTCGGGTGAACCTATTCCTGAATAGGACTGTTGTTGTTGACAGTGACTGACGTATCGACAACCTGTTCGGTAGTCATGTTCAGAGTCAAAGTGAGTTGTATCACGTCAGTTGATGGTATTATACTCCGGTTAATTGTTGATCTGACTGGTCAATTACTTCGCGATGTTATGGGTAGTCTGTAGGCCGTGATGTTATTGGCTATGAAGACGTAATCAGTACCTGGTGCGTTTCGATCCGTCTATTGTCACAGTTAAACAGTCGTCTATTGTCAGTCAAATTGTCAGTTCTCCAGTCGTTCTCTCGTAGTTAGTTTTGCTTGATCTCGTCAATAAGTCGTTTGTACGGCGCTGGTAACTGTGGCTACGATTCAGTGGCGTTTGTTCTAAGTTAGTAAATCAGCTTTCTAAAGTAAGACGTTGATAGTAGTCTGTAGAATTCGTTATACACGTCGCAGAGTCCCAGTAAATTTGATGTTTCGTCTGTAAATGGTGCTCAGCAATGTGATTGTTGACGTCACCACTCCTCGTTGCTCGTTTGTGTTCGGTCAGTCGCGTACTAAGGTTTCTGCGGTTTCACCAATGTAAGAAGCCTGGCAGTCGCAGCATTTGATCTTTTATACTATCAACGTCTTACTTCGATCAATATTGTTGGAAAGAAATACAACTATTTCCGATTTTTTCAGGTCTACTAATTTGGAGTACTTGGCTTCTACGTCTTGAAAAAAGTGTTGTCTTAAATTTTTATACAAATTGCATTCGAATAGAAAATGACTTTAATTCTCTACTTTACTCGACGAGGAAAGCCGACATATACTAATATTCTAAGGAATTTTAGGAAGATGGTATCTATCAGTTTCAATTCTTAACTTGTGATTACTTAATCGTAACTTTGCTACTGCCTGACGATGTTTTTCGTTTTCAATAAGGTCTAAATATTCAGATCTACTGACATCAGTCTTAAAAGTGGAATAGAAATTCAATTTTTTGTAAGATCACAACAATTTCATTTGATCCTTTTTGAAGTAATCTATGATAACTTGTTTGATTTTCGGCAGCTTCGAGTTCACCAATTTTGGCTCTACAAGAATACTAGTGCCGTAGCTTCATGATTTCCTGAAAAGTTGATTTGAAAGTAAAAGGCATTGCTTTGCAATACTAGAATCAGGCAGAAAAACAAGATGTAACCAGAATTTTATAACGTTTATATTAATGTGAGATTCAAGTGATAGTCTTCCTGCTTCAGTACGAGATATAATATTTTTTGCTCTATTATTTAGGCCAATAAAATGTTTGTAAATTTTTGTTTTTTATTGCAGTTATAACACATACAAAAAAGAAAAAAAATTACACAGAATAACTAAAGTAATAAAAAGAAAAAAAAGACAGAATAAACAAACAAACAAATAGCGGATTTACACACTTGCATGGCAATACTTGCAAATATTAAACTAGATTACAGAAGTGCTAATTCCATATATTACTGTACTTAGTATTATCTATAATTAACCTTTACAATTTTTTTTGTTTTTGTTTTTGCTTGTTTTTTTTTTTTTGCTTTCTTTGTGGTGAAAGTAATATAAATACTCATAGTAGGTGCAAATATTACTAATTTATGTTTTTGGAGTTTGGAGACAAGAGCCAGCGAGGAAAAGAAATGTTTCCTTTTTTTTATTGCTCGGTGTCTTATTTTCTAATTGGTATATATGTCTCAGATAAAACAAGAAATTGTTGTGAATTGGGAAACATTCTTTTGATTTGCATATCCAGATAAAGTTCTTAGCTATAAGACAACAGAAGTTTATATGGAGCTTAAAGGAAGAGCTGTCTGGCGTTAGGCCATTCTTGTCTCCAGAGCCACTCGGCTTAATTTGTAACCGACCAGTGGCTCCCCTCGTTTCCCAACCACGTGACCAAGAAACGACGGGCTCTGGGGACGAGAATGGCGTTAGGCCCAAAGCAGTAGTCATGTCTAAGTAACTGCCTGGTTGGAGGATCTGGCACGACTGAAGCCATATCGAGAAATTATCCCAAAAGTTTTGGTTTCTTGGCATTTCCAAAATAGATGTGTCAAATCCTCTCTCTGGTCACGGCAAAAAGTGCATTTTCCGTCCTCTTTAACTCCAATTTTTGCAGATAGCAGTTAGTTGGTATGTAAAAGGTCTGAAATTAAAATAAATTACTTTTGAGCTCGTTGTACAAGTGTTTGCTGCTTGAAAAACGTTTCTCCAGTCAACATTTTTATCGGTTGAAGAGCGGATGTCTTTATGCCATTTGTCTATACAGGATATGGGTTTTTCACTTTTATTTGCTATTAGTTGCTTGTAAACAATTCTAGATGATTTTTGGCTTTTGAGAAATGTATTAAAAGGACTTTCATACTGCTGATGTGTTTTTGGGATTTGTCGTTGCAAAGATTTCACGGCTGAGACGATTCCGAAAAACATTAAGGGTTTTACTCGAATGTTATGCCTATTCTGAAAATGGTCGAGGGAAAAAAAGTTGAGAGAATTCTCGTCCATAAGATGTTTGACTTTTGTCTTGGTAAGCCAATTATTGCAGAAAACTGGTGCGTTATTTATTCTTATTAATGAATTTTGTGACAGAGGTAGAAATAGAAAATAATCTTTTGATACTATTTTCCTCTCGAAGAAACTGTCAGACCAAATTTCTGCAATTACTTTGATAAAAGCGTCTTCTATCTTTAGCTTGTCAATATCCTTCCTGTTAAGATTTCCTAATTCGAAAAAATGACTTCCTCCGTCTTTTCCCAGCGCCAGATTAAAGAAGTTTTCCATTTTCCACGGTTTCCTGAATCTACATATTTTTTAATCCACGTAGCCTTGAGTGATTTGTTAAAAGAGGCAATATCAATCATTTTTAGTCCTCCTTCTGAATAGTCATTGATCATGATCGAGCATTTAATTTTATCGTTTTTCCCGTTCCAGAGTTTTTGCCTGACAGAGTTTTAGGTTGCAGTTTCTTTTAGAACCTATCCACAAGGCCTCTGTTTTCTCATTGTTCAGCCTTAGGCGAGAAATGTTCCCAAATGCTTCTATCAGTAACAGTGACGCTCTTACTGATGTCATCCGCATATTGACTTACTTTAACTTCGGTATTATGGATTTTGATACCCTTTATTTCTTTTTTATTGCGAATAGCTTCAGCGAGTATTTCTACGGACAGTATGAAGAGATAACGCGATAGGGGGCAGCCTTGTCTAACACCTCGATTTAACTCAAAGAAATTGCTTGCCCAGCCATTGTTTAGAATACAGCTTTCGGTATTGCAGTAAAATAGTTCAACCCAGTTTAATAGTGAGGGGCCAAACCCAAAGTGCCGTAACGTTTGGTTTACGAATGACCACTCTAACGTGTCAAAAGCTTTTTCAAAATCAAGGAAAAGCATTAGACCGGGTAGTCCTTTGTTTTCTGCAGACTTAATAGCGCTATCTAACGTGCGTATATTGTCACTGATACATCTGTTTTTTTTTTTAATGAAGCGTGACTGATCTTCTGATATAAGTTCCGGTAAAACCATTTTGATTCGATTTGCAATGACCTTTGATGCAATCTTATAATCGCAGTTTAATAGTGTCAATGGGCGCCAATTTTTAATCAGGTTGGCATCTGCGTCCTTCTTTGGTATACGCTTGACAATTCCTCGCCTTTGTGATGCAGCGAGTTTTCTTGTTTGGTAAGAGAAGTTTAGGGCCTCTCTTAATGTTTCACCTATGTCTTTCCAAAAAGCTTTATAAAATTCACATGGCAGGCCATCAGTAACAGGTGTTTTTTCTGTGGCCATACCGTTTGATGTTTCCAAACACTCTTTAACACATGACCTTCACAATGCTGTTTTCTTTCTTCACTCAATACTTGTCGTGTAGGTGGAAAGAAAACTTCCTGGTAATCGTTAACTTGTACTTTTGAACTGTACAGATTTTTATAAAAGGCCTCGCTCTCGTGTAAGATTTCTCTGTAGGATTGGATTAAGTCTTTGTCATTGACTTTCAGTTGGGTAATTGTTTCTTGTTTGCAGTGTCTTTTCTCTAAGTTTAGAAAGTATTTAGTGTTTTTTTCGCCCTCATTGTACCATCGCAATCTAGACCTTTAAATAGCCCCTTTTGTCTAGTATTCGATTATGGTTTCAAGTTCCCGTCTTTTCTTTTCTAACTCTGACCATATATTTTGGCAGTCAGTGGCATCAATGTTGGCGGTCTGTTCCTCTAGGATTTTCATTGTTTTTTCTTCATTATCTTGTTTTTGAACCATTTTTCTCTTATTCATTCTGCCAAACTCAATTGATGTCTCTCTAATTTTCATTTTTATCATTTCCCACAGTAAGTTTGGAGTGACAGTATTATCCAGTGCATATTCATCTTTAGTTTGAGTTATAATGGATTGTATTTTCTTTATATATTCTTCATCCTTTAGGAATGAGGTACACTGTATTTAGTTTCCAGAAGCCCCGTCCTCTCATGTTGTTATGTGTCGAAATTTGCAACGTGACCAGTGAATGATCTGTCTTATAACCAGGGGCTATGTCTGTATTGATTGAGTTGCAAGATGTGCATTGACTTACGAGAAAAAAGTCAAGTCTGCATTGTATTTCGGGGTTCTTTTGTCTCCACGTAAATCGTCCTTGTTCAGGGTTTTGTATTCTCCAGACATCAATTAGGTCTAAGTCTTCGCAATAGCTATTTATGACTTCCAACGATTTTACAAATGTTTGTAAAATTGTTTGTGAATTTTTTCAAGGAGGTCTTTTCCCCATTTCTTAGCATCAGTTCTATCATAAGTACCCCATACCTCAAAACTGTATAGTGATATAGGAAGAAATAGGGCATCAAAAAGTTTATTGCATATAGCCACTGGAGGCTTAATAAAATCAAAGCGTTTTGCACCAAATATTTATCTTCTTGTTTTCTCTGCAGTCTTCTTTGGAAATTGAGAAACTTTCAATTGAATTAA